AGAATGAATTTAACAAAGTAATAAAAAAAACGACTACTGAATAAAATATGTGTATTTTATAATCAAAAATACTTATTGTAACCTCTGATAGAAAGCTCTCTGATAGTAAATTAATCTATTCATACTATAATTATATTTTTTTCTTGTAGACATAAATTCAATTTGTATTGGACACTCTTAGATGTTTAGAGTTAATATCGAAGAACGTAAATTTCGTCCTTACGCTCAAATGTTGAAGAAAATAAAGCAAAATATTAGTAAGAAAATGAAAGAGAGTTAATAATGTTTTTGTTTGTGTTGGATAGTGATAATGGAAATCGTTAGCGAGGTCGTCAGTGGGCCGTAAGACGACAAAAGTTGAGGGAACACCTATCGCCTTATTTACAATCGACGGCGCCTTTTCGCCTGTCCCGTTCACAATTCGAGATCAATACGGAGGCTGACTGCTGCCTCCCGCACTGCCTATTCACACTGATCGCACCCTCTCACTCATACATTTACGTAACCGAATAAAAAAATACGACAAGCATCTAAAGAAAATGTAAGTGACACGTTTTCTTTACTTTTTTTATTTACTTTTACTTTTACAGAAAACAAGTGAAAGTGTTAAATAAACTGCTAAAGTTACTGCTAGAATTTTTTTGGACTAGTTATAGTTTATTCAGTCTGCATTCATCTTAACTTACTTCAAGTATTTAAAAAAGATAATTTTAATCAATTAAGTAGAAATGTAAAGTTTTATATGTCTAATGAATACGAACATTGCCTTTGGATGTAAAATATGTCTGTAGATATTGTAAAGTAAAATAAAATCATGAAGGATTTATCAAGAAAAATTTATTTATCAATTTATCAATTTTTTTTTATTTATTTTCTCCTGTAATGGACAATTTTCAAGCTAACATGCCTCAAAATTTTCGAAAGAACCAATGTTGCGTTGCTATAATTTAAAAATACTATAATTTGACGAAATTACAGAATAAAATTAAGCGACATTTACGCTTGACTTTCTTGTTTTAACCCACATAATTTTCGCTCATTCGAAATTAAAGTGAAAAAGTTTTTTTTCTAGGTTAACGCGCTCACAACTACCGGTAACAAATTAAAACGTGTGTTTGTTTATTTTACAGAGTAATTATAAGTGCATTTTACAACTTTCCTTACTAATGAGGATTCCATTTCATCTCTGCATACAATATACTGCTTGACATAAAAAAAACTGTATTCTTATTGTATTTCTGTTAGGTTAGTTAATGGACATTTAGATGTACTTAAGATTGAACCGTAAATATTATTCACGAATAAACAAAAAGGGTTTATAACAAATGAAGTAGCAAAATATAATTAAAGTATTTCATCTTCCAAGTTGGCTCCCAGTAAGTAGGCCATTGTCCTTATTCCGGCTGTATGTAGGCCGTTACTATATAATATAGGGCTGCCAAGCACGAGCAAATAGCTTCGCCTATTCTGTATTAGCTGGGAGCAGACGGAGTGGCGCCTAGTAAACAGCTATTTCTTACTAAAGCTTAGTGGTGTAGTAATAAAATATATTGACTGACATTATGCAAAATTCATGCTCTATGGAAGATATATTGTCATGCATTTGAAAATGTAATAAAAGCAATTGACTGGATTTTCGAGTTAAATTTGTAGTTTTACAATTATCGTAGTTTACAGTTGGGTTATTATTATTATCAGAAGTTATTATGTGTACTAAAGATTCTCTGAACTAATTTTGCGTAGCTTGAAACAAAAATGTATTTATGGTAAAAGAAAGGTACTTCGAAAATAACTTTGAAATTTATAGTTTTGGTTCATTGGAAATCCATTAAAAAATTCCAGATTTGTAGGTAAGTGATACTTGTTTTCAACAGTTCGTGGCGTGTGATGTACATATCAGGTACTAGGGTATCATAATGTTAATGTACTTACTATAATTAGACAAGGGTCGATCAGTCGGCTGAATCGGCGCAGGCAAAGTCATTGCACAGCGCACCAGCTGATCGATTGACGACGCCGCCCACACAACTCTTCAACTCTCCATAAATACAACCTGCCTATGGTAACAATCGAATAATTATATAAGCTTGACTTGTGTAACATTGACTACGGATTTCAGTAGCGCGGATATACAACTACGGAAGTTTGTCGCTCCCCATTTATACGTGCTCACTTACAGGTAGTAACGGACACGGTTATTTTCCTTGACTATTTCCGTTTATTAGTCTGAGTATCGATTCTGATTACAATCTGGAAGTAGTTCGTGCGTCCCTCGCCCTGATGAATTTCAATCCCCATTGCCTTTAGCGTATTATAGCTTTGTCATGGTGAATAGAAATTTTTGAATGAATTGAATTTTTTTCATGAAGGGGCTACGATATGCCAAGTGGGTTTAAAGTTTACTATGTAAACCAATCAGGCAAAATTAGTTATCATGAACTACTTCATTTTACAACTGAATTAACTAAAAGACACTTAAGTTGATTTTCTTTGATTTTCAGGTGCGGTTACATTAGGGGCGGGTGGAGGGCGGCGGCGCGATGAGCTAGCGGCATGGCGGGCGAGGGGGCGGGCCGCGGCGCGCGCTGTCACGTGGGCGACTCGCCCCCGTGCGCGCCCACGGGCTACGCGGCGCCCGCGCCCGCACACGATGCCCCGCTCGACCGTGCCTTGCCGCCGGCGACCGCGCCCGCGCCTCCGCCACCGCCCGCGCTTGCAGCCGCCGCGCTGCAGCGGGCGCACTCCAGGTATACCTTTACCAGTACCCTCCAAACTTAATTACGGTTCACAATGTAAGTCAAATCACGCTGAACCAAATTTAAGTGTTTGACTTAATGGTTGATTCTTTTTTCGAACAGGATTCAATTGTTCTTTCAAAAATCTTATGGTAGTAAACTGTTTTTTTAAGCTAATTTATAAACTGAATACTTAGGCATTTCAGATACATTTTAACCAATATCTAATAAGATTTTTTGAATGTCAATATATTGTATTCTGTTACCATATCCAATAAAACCACAAGTATTTAGTGTATAGCGGTAAATACGAGACAGTAATCTATGTAACCGCAAATTGAACAAATGTAATGTAACCGATATATTGCGGTTTATGCAACTAACTATTTGAAACTAATATTGCTCGAAGCGTTACACGCGGTTTTGTCTTATTAAATTATTTATACCACATGTAGATTTGCATTTGAAGTAAAAAATATCCTTAAAGTCAGTTTCCACTTTTCGTTGAAGTTATTTGATCTTTTTATTCATCATCATCATCATCATCACCAGCTCACTATACGTCCCCACCGAGGGGCTCGGAGCCTACCCTAATACGGGGTGACTAGGCCATAGTCAACCACGCTGGCCTAATGCGGGTTGGTTGACTTCACATATATCTAAGAATTTCTTCGCCGATATGTGCAGGTTGCATCACGATGTTTTCCTTCACCGTAAGAAAAAGTAATTTAAAAATTTAAAAGTAAATTATGTACATATGAAAATTCGAAAAATCGAAAATCACATTGGTACATGGCGGGATTCGAACCCAAGACCTGTAGATTACAAGTCAAGTGTTCAAACCACTGAGCCACCGACGCTCTTTTTATTCTGTTTTTCTAAAATTGAGGATACATGTATACTAGTGCATTAAAAATTAAAAGAGGTAGTGCCCGCTTTAACATCTTAGCACGAATGGGCCGACACGCCCGGTGTAATACCACGACCACACAGAAGACAGGCGTGAAATGGAAGC